AGTTGCAGACGCGTGCCCAAACACACCTATGGACATCCCCTCTGCCCACATACACCCTGTCTCTTATACACATCTAGATGTGTATAAGAGACAGCCCTCCTTCCATCCATCCATCCATCCATCCATCCGTCCGTCTGTCCATCCGTCCGTCTGTCCGTCCGTCCATCCGTCCATCCGTCCATCCATCCATCCATTCAAATGCTTCCATGATTTCATTTCCCCATCCTCCCGCCTTCTTCTTGTTCTTCCCAGTAGCCCAACCTTTTTTCCTCCTCATCCCAGTTTTTCACCTCCTCACCATCCTTTCCCTGTGCTCGTGCAACCCCCCCCCAAACCCTCCCTTATCCATCTCCTCATTTTCCTCTTTTCCCAAGTCCTGCCCTTTTCCCTCTGCCTTCTCCCCCTCCTTTCCCTGCTGCTATCGTTTGTCGCTCTCCCTCTCGTTCTCCTTCTCCCTGGAGCTTGCTGCCTCCCCCATCTTACCTATCTCCCTCTTGTCCACCTCCATTTATTTTACCTTCTTGTCCTTATCCTCCTCCTCGTCAATTGTCTTGTCTTCTCTCCAACCACCGTTCTCTTTTTGAATGTCCTCTTATTAATTCTCCTCCACAGGGTTCACCTCATTGCCCTTGACCTCCTCCTTTGCCCTGCTACCCTCCCCCTGCTCCTCCCCCTCCCTCGTCCAGTATCCACATTGATCTCATCATCGTCACGGCTACTACTACTACTACTACTACTACTACTGCTACTACTACTGCTACTACTACTGCTACTACTACTGCTACTACTACTGCTACTGCTACTGCTACTGCTGCAGCTGCTGCTGCCACTGCTCCTATGGCTCCTACTGCTCTTACTGCTCCTCCTACTGCTGCTGCTCCTGCTCCTCCTGCTCCTCCTGCTCCTCCTGCTCCTCCTCCTACTCCTCCACCACCAGCACGGCCACTACTACTTACCACCCCGACCACTACTATCATCACGACTACTCCTACCACCATGACCACGACCACCACTACTCTGACCGCTACTCCGACCGCTACTACGACTTCTACTACTACTGCCACTGCTACTACTTACTACTATTATTGCAAGTACCTCTACTACTCTTACTATTACTACTACTACTGCTACTACCACTACTATTACTGCAACTACTGCTACTCCTACTGCTACCACTCCTACTATTACTACTATTACTCCTATGACTACCACAATTACGACAACTATTACGACTGCCACTAGTAGTGCTACTACCACCACTACTACCACTGTCACTGCCACCCCTCCCCTCCCACTCCCCCCTCCCCCTCCACTCCCACTCCCAGCACCACCATCACTACTACTACTTCATCTCGTTTGTATCAAAAGCATCCTAATGTGTAAGACACACAAAAAAAAGAGCACGTTACATGTATCATCTCAGTGTCAATGTTGTCACCTGACTCTTAATGCCAAGAAAGTGAACGTGTAGGTGCGCAGCTCCCCATGTCTGAAGGGTTGTGAAGGAAGTGTCATACTTGCACTCTCCTGAGCAGCACGACTCCAGACTACATTTAGACTGAGACTGTGTTGTGTGTGGTATGTGTGCCGTCATATTCGCTATATACAACTCCACAAAGAAAACCACGACTGTGCCAGACTGTTTTGTCGCCCTTTCACCGACTCATCAGGAGGTTGAACCCCGGCAGTCTGCCCAGGATGCAGCTGACTGGTGGACAAGGACTCACCACGGCGCCCAGAGTTAGTGATACACTGATACCCCTGAGAAAAGTGGTCGACTTTACTCACACCAACACCAAACCCCTGAAAAGAATGGCAGTAAGTCTGAGAAACTCGGTCTCACGTGCGAAGCAAGCGGAAAGTGCCCGCCACTTTCCATATAGGAAAGGGCTGGCCTCCCTGCTGCACATTCGGGCACTTGCAATTGCGGGCGGCAGAGCTTCTGGAGCGATCGCTCGCGGGCTGCTTGCTGCGCTAACGCTGGTGCTGCGTGCACGCGGGGATATGCAGGTTGCAGGGTGCTGCTGAGGGCAGCGCCATAGCCAGCCCCCATAGCCGGGCTTGGCTTGGACATAGCCAGTGGAGGTGGTGGTGGTCTTCGTGTATGGGAAGTAAGACATGGGTGAAGTCGAGGGTGAGAGAGAGAGAGAGAGATGAGGTTGATGATGTGAGGGCACGTACCTGGTCTTGGCGATAGTCTACAAGGTCGACATCTTCACCTACTTCGGTTGTTGCTGCTGACGTCAACAGGATGCATTGTCAATTCGTAGGCTGCTAGTAGCTGTATGATCTTAGTCTGGGTGCTGAGCGCCAAGTGGGAGGAAGGACTCTGGACCATACTTGCGGCGCATTCAGTTGCGCGTCCCCGCGCACAGCGCACGATGCGGCACACCTGGTGCGTCGCACCTGGAAACTTAGGGGTCGGCAGTGTTGCACACCCCAACCATCAGCGACTCTTGACTGGTCGGCTGCTGACCCGCCGACCAGTCGGCTGGTCGGCACCTACTGGTCG